ATTAAAAAAGAACACCCTCCCTTACAGGCCATGGCTGTCAGGAGCACTCCTGCTCTCACCAACTTGTGTCTGTTCGTCCCTTTCCTTCCTCCCTTACATCCGCTTTCGGTCACGTTGTCTTATCGCTTTTACCCACGATTCCCGTTCTTTACTCCAACACTTCAGTCAAACGTGTCCCTTCCTGAAACAGAGAGAAGAGAATTCCTTTCCGACCCGTCCGCCTCCTCGGACCTTGGACGCGCGCCGCCTCTCAGTTACGGGAAACGATAGAGACACTCGGCGCCCGCGGAACCCTCTTTGGTGGGACAGACAGAGACTCTGCGTGTCTAAACCAGTTCCCTCTCGTTCTCTCGAGTGGGCGTCTGCGTTTGGACACATGCCCGTGTGTTCCTATTTGATTGTGAATCATGTGAGGGAGGCCCCTGGCCAGGCAGTCCCCTGTGAAATGTGTATCAATCCTCCTCCGTCTCAGTCTGAGGAGGAACGGACCCCATCTTAGGGGCCTGAGAGGCTTTGAGAACTGAATCTAACAGCAGGAGAAAGGAAGAGAAAGCGCTTTTTGCAGGAGCTGATACAGGCTTCCACTGGATGTTTCAGCTGGAGCGTCGGTCAGCCAGGGCCACGGACGCTGTGGAGACACGGTTCTAAGCACGTCCCCGGCGGGTGTCCGCCCCGAGCCTCTGCAGGAAGAGACCTGAGCCTCACAAGTCCCCGTGAGAAGGCGGAGAAAGCAGGATGGTGCTCGGCCACATGCTGTCCCTCCAGAGGGACAGACGCTGGAAACGGTCGGGAGGAAGCAGTGGGCCGGCTTCTCACCCGCAGCCGAGGGCTCCCCGGGAACTGACCAAACCTTCGCCTTTCGTCTAAAACCCAGCTTCCGGGGAGTTTCATAAACGCCTGTTCATACACACGATGTCCCATAGCACAGGGCTTGGCACGTGTAGACCCTCTAGACCAAAGGAAAACCTGTGTCTCTGCTCGCCCTTGTGTGCGCGATTCTTCGAGCCTTGACGTTGCTTTTCTCTGTTTTTAAGCCCTAACGCTGTCCGTGTTTGACGTGTGCGACTTGATGCGTCTGCACATACATGTCCATCGTGAAACCTTCCCCACAATCTGTGTCACGAACATATTCACGCCTTCAAGGGTCTCCGCCTTCCCCTTCACTGTGATGGTGACAGCACGTCTCAGGTCTGCCCTCTGAGCAGATGCTGAGCGACCGCGCGACACTGGTGACTGCAGCGCCACCCACGCAGGCCCACAGGGTTTACGCAGGTTTCACGGCCGACACTCGGATGGAGACCTGACTTCCCCGCCTCCCAGCCCTGACCCCCTGCTCCTCTGTCTCTGTGAGTCCGAGCTGCCAGCTGCCCCTCAGGTGCCCACGCGGTGTTCGCCTTCGTGTCTGGCTCATTTCACGTACATGACGCCCTCCAGGCTCAGCCGTGGGCCACCAGTGGTGGGATTTCTTTCTTGATGTAATTTTCCTTTATCCTCTCCCGAGGGTACCTTTTTCCACTGAGAGTGGAAAGGAGGTGGGGAGGAGAGAGAGAGAGAGAGAGAGAGAGAGAGAGAGAGAGAGGAGAGAGGAGAGAGAGAGAGAGAGAGAAACATCGACGTGAGAGAGACACATGGACTGGTTGCCTCCCATATGCACCCCGACTGGGGCTGGGGATCAAACCTGCAACCCAGGTACATGCCCGTGAGCGGGAGTCGAACCCACGACCCTCCCGTGGGAGGGCCGACACTCTAACACTGAGAGACCAGCCAGGGCGTGAGTTCCTTCCGTGTGCAGCGGTTCTCAACCTTCCTAATGCCACGACCCTTTAATGCAGTTCCTCTTGTTGTGGTGACCCCCAACCATGAAATTATTCTCGTTGCTACTTCATCACTGTCATGTTGCTACTGTTATGAATCGTCATGTAAATATCTGATATGCAGGATGTATTTTCATTGTTACACACTGAACATAATTAAAGCATAGTGATTAATCACAAAAACAATATGTGATTATACATGTTTTCCGGTGGTCACGACCCACAGGTTGAGAACCACTGGGTAAAGGCTGGACAACCTCCCGCTGTGTGTGCAGCCCCTGTTCTCTCCGTCCCCGGCTGAGGGACATGCGGCTGCTGCTGTGTCCAGTTCATTGTCAGTGACGCTCCACAGACGCGACAGCAGAGGGCGCCGTTCCCGTGCGGAGTGGGAGGTGCTGAGCCTGCTGCTTCCCACAGATGGGGTGCCCTTTCCTCCCGGCCTCACACTCCTGCTCGCTGCCCTATTGGTGACAGCCCCCCGGCAGGGGGAGCCGCAGCCATTGGCCTGGTCCTCAGCCGTCCGTCAGTCCACGGTGAGCAGTGCCACGGACGTCGCGTGCCCTGGCTGAGCGTGCCCTGGCTGAGCATGCCCCGGCTGAGCGTGCCCCGGCTGAGCGTGCCACGGACGTCGCGTGCCCCGGCTGAGCGTGCCCCGGCTGAGCGTGCCCTGGCTGAGCGTGCCACAGACGTCGCGTGCCCCGGCTGAGCGTGCCCCGGCTGAGCGTGCCCTGGCTGAGCGTGCCCCAGCTGAGCGTGCCCCGGCTGAGCGTGCCCCGGCTGAGCGTGCCCTGGCTGAGCGTGCCCTGGCTGAGCGTGCCACGGACGTCGCGTGCCCCGGCTGAGCGTGCCCCGGCTGAGCATGCCCTGGCTGAGCGTGCCCCGGCTGAGCGTGCCCCGGCTGAGCGTGCCCTGGCTGAGCGTGCCCTGGCTGAGCGTGCCACGGACGTCGCGTGCCCTGGCTGAGCGTGCCCTGGCTGAGCGTGCCCCGGCTGAGCGTGCCCTGGCTGAGCGTGCCCCGGCTGAGCGTGCCCCGGCTGAGCGTGCCCTGGCTGAGCGTGCCACGGACATCGCGGCCCCGGCTGAGCCAGGTGAACAGGAACTCTGCTCACTGAGTGGGAGCCAAGGGGCTGTGACCTGAGGGAAGGAGCCGCTTCGAGACGAGGTGAAGCCGGGGACCTGGAGCAGCTGCTGGAGAGGCTCCCAGGACGAGCTCCGTCCCAAAGGCGTCTGAGGTCGAGTCCTGCATCGTTAGGGGTCCCCAGACCTCGGGTAGATGGGCCTTCAGCGCTTCCTTAACAGGAAGCATCAGGATAGCCGTAACATTTCAGTCATTTCACGCATTTGTTTTCGAAAGTTG